AAAACTACACCTCAGCCTCACCATCAAATGACAAAACAGACCCACTTCACTATTTGACTGTGATCAGACTTTTCCTAAAACAACACATACAGACAAACTCCATCCACAGCCCATTAGCAGCAGTAGAATTATAACTTTTTAAAATAATTGACTAGCCAGCCGAAAGTCAGTAACTTCCACCGTAAAGCAAAGAGTGTCCCAACTTAAAACAGAAAGATACAACAATCTCGATTCCAATAAATAAATACAACCGTGTGTCAAGTCAATGAACTGAATGTACACTTGTAGACTAGGCCTAGAGCACATTAAGCAGAACACGACCTCAGAGCTTTCTTGTCTTCATTTTTTTTTTAAAGTGAAAAAGTGACTTCTTCTTCGGCTCACTCTGTGTTATAAACTGTTTTCACTGCTATTAAAAATGGAGACAGGACAAGAAAGCACTGACGTCGCCATAAATTATTGATAGTACAATCATCTTTCAGTTTTCACCAAGAACACACAAAAAAAAGTCCGGAAATTGCCAAATACAAAATTCTGCAAACAGCAAAGGGGCACAGAGCACAGGGGAAGACAACTGTACAACTGGGTGGTGTGACAAAGGGGCTTTTGCTCTTACTTGTCATAGGTTTTCTGAGAGAAGCTCTCCGAGGCGCGCGGCTTTTCCTCAAAGTCCCAGCCACCACCTCGGTTCTTGCTGCCCCAGCCCCCGCTGCCAAAGTCGTCTTTTTGGGAACCGAAGCTGTCCTCGTTCCTTCTGGGGAATCATTCAGGAACTTTGAAAGTCACCACAGAAAATACGACAAAAAGAATTCACAACCAATTCTCTTCCTGCCTATGAGCTGCTTTTTTTTCCTTTTGAATGTGCCCGACATCTTTCAGCTTTAGTCAGAGTTTTAAGGCACTTGCAACACAATAAGGTCATATAAGTATCGAAGATAAGAGGTGTCACAAGAGAGTAAAAAGTAGTTTAGTTTTAGTAAGGTTTTACGGCGCTCGCAGCTGCATAAGAGACTCACTTGGAAGAAGACCAGCTGGAAACAAACTCGAATTCATCGTCAAAGAAGTCGCGTCGGTTGCTGCGAGGCTTCTCCCCGTACGAGTCGTAGTCGCGTCGGCCCGACGACGACGAGGAGTTGCTGGGGGCTTCTTGTTGGATGGTCTGCATGTCCGAGATGGCAGAGTGGCTGATTCCTCTGGGGAGGGGAGAGAAAGAAAGCAACAATGTAGGATAAGAGATGGCAGAGTGGCTGATTCCTCTGGGGAGGGGAGAGAAAGAAAGCAACAATGTAGGATAAGAGATGGCAGAGTGGCTGATTCCTCTGTGATTGTGTGTGTGTGTGTGTGTGTGTGTGTGTGCGCGTGTGTGTGTGTGTGTGGGAGGGAGAAAGCAAAGATGTAGGATAAGAGATGGCAGAGTGGTTAATTCCTCTAGGGGAGGTGAGAGAAAGAAAGCAACGATGTAGGATAAAAAATAACAGGATGAGTTCAATACTGTTTTATTGGTGGTACATTATCAGATCTACTTCCCACCTACATGAAGCAGAACAAGCTACAATTTTATGAGCTCTGTAAACCTGAAAGAACTTTACATATACTTTTTTTAAACCACTCATCTACAACCATTTCCTTTATCAAACAAGCCAAGGGTTATGTCAGTGCTGTCAGCAGGGGGTGAGAGTGAAAAGATGGAAAAACGATTCTCAAATATAAAAAAAAAAAGAAAGAAAACTGTGTCCCCGACGTGGTGGAATCAGGCGCTAGTCAATTTTGGGAATGAGAAGTTATTGGTATCAGCTGAAAGCTGAATTATTTGCCTTGCTTCTAATGAAATAAATATCCATTTATCTTGATCTGAACAGAACAGAAGATATTTGTGATTGAAGGAAGTGAGGTCGCTTGGTTTCAGTGGTGAAATGAGGAGAGTAATGATTGGGAAAGAAAAAGCAGCAGTTCCCTGTTGCAGTTCAGGCAGTTATGAGCATGATATCGTTGAATCAGCCCAATTACAATTCTACAGTGCATAAGAACAAGCGAACAAGTTAATATCCCCCCTTTGGGAATGGCCAAAAGACACTTTAGTCAGCCGCACCTCCAGGGGGGGGGGGGGGGGGAGTGATTGAGTCTTTCACCAAGGAAGAGGTCAAACTATTTACAGTCCCAGCCATAATGTCATACTTGTTTCCTGCAAATCCCATTCCAAGCCTCTCAAACTGTTGGGCTTTCTTCGGGTCATTCCTCAAGAGTTTCTCTTCCTCTTTCTTCCTCTGGATGCTCATGTCTTGGTAGGCAAGTCGCATGTTGGCCCTGAAATAAACAGGATAAAAAGATCAGAGACGGGAAGTGCACAAAATCATTCTAAACAAACAACCAAAAACAGTTTTTAGTTTTAGTAGAGGTTTTACGGCGCTCGCAACTGCATAAGGTCATATGAGCGCCAGAAGATCAGAGGTGTCACAAGAGAGTAACAAACATAAAAAAGAAGAAGGGGGAGATAAGGACGATAGATGTTTCATAGGAAAGAAGAAGCAAACCACACCAGAGCACCCGCCAACCACCCACAACCAAAACCATACACACAGTACTAGTCTAAGATTGCCACCACACAAGACTCAGAAACAGAGACAAAGACATTTCAAGCATGAACAAAAGAAAACTCCACAAAGCAATATGGAAATACTAAGCATACTACAACAACTTCACCTGAAAATAAAGATGTGTTTTTGGGTGGAGAAATCATTTCTGCAGTCAGATTTACTAACCCTTTCCTAGTTATTTCATTATAATTTAAAATGTTGGTGTACATATTACGATTTTGCGAAAAAAGGGTGCATTTGTGACAATGTCTTAACGACTACATGACACAGAACGTTCAAATTTGAGGACACTCTAGAGGAAAGATAGATCGATTACCTTCTCGACGTTGAAAATCAACCTCTTGATAGTTTTCGGTATACCCATTACGAAAGTGTTCGCGACACCAAAAGTATAGGTTAATTTATGTGTACAAACTTCAACGTCCACATAGCATTAATTTGCCCCATTTTTTGATTGGTTGCCAAGTTTCATTCACATTGGTCTAGAAATAGAGCAGACCGAGGTTGGGAAAGTTAGTCACTTACGTTCAGACCAAGTCCAAAAATTCCTCCACAAATGGGGACCCAAATTTGGCTGCGCGCAGAAGCCTGATTGGCATTGCTAATGTACTCACATCTGCTTATCCTGCTCCTCCTTAGTCTTAGCCTCCGGTATGTTTGACTGTATATGTGTGTGTGTGTGTGTGTGTTTGTGTGTGTTTGTGTGTGTGTGTTTGTGTGTGTATGTGTGTGTGTGTGTTTGACTGCGTATGTATGTATATATATATATATATGTTTGCCTGTACTCACATCTGCTTGTCCTGCTCCTCCTTAGTCTTAGCCTCCTGTACAGCCACGTTCTTGGCCAGCTCCTCCCTCTCTTTGTCCACCTGCTGTGCACGACTCTCGATCTCCGTGAAGTTTTTCTTCACTCGCTGAGCACCCAAGCCTTTCTGCAAAACATTAGATAAGTCATCTCTGTTATTTCATTTCTATAGATAGTCCTGCTAAGGTTTAGGTGAAGAGCAAGTTAT